AAAGTAGATTCGCCAGTGATGAAGAATGTTCCTTATTTATGTCTGCATAGGTACATTCTGGGACCCATAAAGGTTTAATTGTCCCTCTAACTAGTTTTTTAAAAAAAACCCACAAAGAGGCTGCCAGCTTTCCCCAGAGTTTAAAACCAACTGAATGTGGTTCTGTGGAAACTGCTTTAAGTGTGTAACTCGCGCTGTGTCCTGGGGCACAAGGCGCGATTGTTTGGGGAACTCAAAAGATGCAGCTCTTAGGAGGACTTTTAAGTTACTTTTCATGGCTTTTGGCTGCTGCTGACCCTGGGTTGCTCTGCATAGACAGAAAGAGAAAACTCCTCCAACCAGGAACCTGCCTCTCTTGCTGCCCTCTTCCGGATGGGGGAAACCTCCATGTCAGAGGGGTTCTTTTCTCTCAGACATTCATTGTCTTTGCTAGTTTAAAAGGCTCTCACAGGACACTAAGGACAGAGGAGAGACAGAAAGAGAGAAAACATGTCTATAAGTCTACTAGACAGAAAGAGAAAGAGAGACCCTGGTAATCAAGACTGGATCCAGAGAGACAGACATACCTTACCTCCCTGCTTGGGTGTGTAGAGAGAGCAGTGCCCATTCTCTGTCACTCCTCCAACACCACAGTCTATCTTGTTCGGTCATTCCACAATTAATGATCGGGTACCTATTATGTTTAAGGCACAGTAGTGAATAAAATGCACATAGTCCCTACTCTCAGTAAGTTTACATTCTCATAGGACAGTTAGACATTTTAACAAAGGTTAATTATGCAAACAAACGTGATTACAAAATGTAATGACTGCTATGAAGAAAATGTATAGGGTGTTAAGAGAAGTTAACAGAGGACCATGGAAGTTTCTCTGAGGAAATTAGGCCTTGTAAGGTAAATCTGAAGAATAAGAGGGAGTCGCAAGGTGAAAAGACGTTGTTAGAGCAGGGAGAAGCATGATAGATGGAAAGAAGGGCGTGTGCAAAGACCCTGAGATAGGAAGAAGCAGAGCCTGTTAAGTGGTGCTTGCAGAGTGAGATGTGGCTGGAGAAGTAGGCAGTAACCACTACTGCCAGAATTTTGTCTTCTGCTTTAAGCCTTTTTTCCTTAAAGATTTGTAATGGTTTTCCTATCCATCACACTTCACATTGAACTTCAAAGGGCTATCTCCAGAATGTCCCTAGATTACCTCAATCCTTCTCATACTCCTCTTGGGTTCTTTGAAGAAAACACATTTGTCAGAAGACTAAAGCGAATAGTTTTGAGGCTATAATGAAGTCAATCTCAGTTTACATGACTCCAAATGGTTCCGTTTAAATGCCCCACCCTGTATTTACGTGTCCCTACCACTTTAGTTGACTGTTTATCTTCTAGTATATTCCACTATACTTGCAGTCTTGGCCTTTATTTAACTTCATCCCTTACTTTTTCCATTCCATGGCCTATCATTTACATTTTTCTTTAGGAAATGTAAATATTTATTTATGGTATTAGATTTTACTCTTGCATAGCTCCATACTTTATGAAGTAAACAGACCATGATGTGGATTCTAGTCCCGAATTTTCCATAAATTGTTGGTGACCTTAGCCAAGTCATTTAACCCCCCTGGGCCTAAGATATTTCTTTGTAAAAATGAAGTGTTTTTCATTTTTTTGGTTTTATTTTAGCTAGCAAATTTGTATCCAGGATTACTCTTAAAGTCTATGATTCTGTATCTCTTATGGCCACCTAGGACAATTTCTCTCATATCTTTGTCTTTATCCACCACTCTTTCAGAATGTTTTTGTGAATAGAACTGACTTTGTATAGTTAGTCTTTGTAGGGTAGTATACACAGAATCGTATTTAACAAATGAGAATACATCATACTGTTGGGCTTAGGTTAAAAGTTTTATATGTGAGGAAGTGACTGAGGAGTAGGAAAATTCTAGCTGTAGGCCAAAAATTACCATAAATTGCTTCTGAAACTGGGGTGTAGGTACTCAAAGGGGTATACAGAGGCATCACAAGTATAGGAAGCCCTTCCTTCTGGAACAAGGATTCTACTCAAATGTTTGAGGAGGGAAAATAGACTTTAGTATTAAAACAAACATAGCTACATTAGGAATAAAAGATAAAAGTCATAGGATATTTCAATATAAGGGAACCCTAGGTGGACAGCTTTGGGCATACTTCAATGTGAGAGGAAGTGGGGACTTTACTTCTGTTCTTGGGTTGCTTGAGAAATGTTTGTCTTATGGGTCTTTTGAGGTATGTGCACTTTAATAAGGTAAAGGTATTAAGTTACCCAGAAGGAACATTCCTGCTGAATAATGGATGTATGTAGAAAATCCAATTTCACCCATTAGGAGAGTTTAAAGAGAGTTCTGAAGTGGAATGAGAGCCAGGCCTAACAGGAGACTTGTCTCCAAGGACTAAATGAGTTACAGAATCTTAGTTAGAACTCTGGCTAAAGTCTGGGTTTGAACTGGTCCAAACATCTGGGAGATCTCTTACCCTTTCTCAGAGAAAGCACTTCTTGTTTGTACTCCCAGCTCTGGTACTTACCATGCCATTATATGTTAGTTATGTTTTCTGGTGTGCATATGGCTTCTCAGCCAGAGTCAGGGAAGTGGTATGAATTAAGAAAAAGTACATGATCAAGAGGTAAGACCTTGGCTGGGTACTCATGCCTGTAATCCCAGCACTCTGGGAGGCTGAGGCAGAAGGATTGTTTGAGCTCAGGAGTTCAAGACCAGCCTGAACAGGAGTGACTTTTTCTCTACTAAAAACAGAAAAAATTAGCCATCCATGGTGGCACTTGCCTGTACTCCCAGCTATTCAGGAGGCTGAGATAAGAGGACTGCTTGAATCCTGAAGTTTGAGGTTGCCATAGCTACCATGCCAGGGGACTCTAGGGCAATAGAGTGAGACTTGGTCTTAAAAAAAAAAGGTGAAGACTTTGCTTACTATATGACTTTTGGTAACTCCCTGAAATCTCTGATTCCCAGTTTTCTTACCTTCTAAGAGGTCTAATACAGCATTTGCCTTCCCTACTCAACAGACTTGTGTGCAGAACATATAGATTTGTGATGTAAAGTAGCTTATAAATCATTAAACAAAAAAATCAGTTATTAACTAAGACCCCAAAGAGAAGGGTTTATCTCTCGCATTATCTTTCTATTCCCCTCAAAGTCTAACTTTTGCCTGGTTGGTTTTGATAACTATTAATGATAAAGATCCTGTATTGCTGTTCTTGGGTTGACCCCGGGAAACTCTAATTTGGTCTTTCTCTGCTACCTTTCCACCTTTTCCTCCTCTTCTGGCTTCAGTTTCCACATTGGTATTTCTGCCCACTGACCTTCCTAGAGGATTTGGATATTAAGAGGACAATTAAAGGGACTATTTAATGTATATGAATGAACTGCTAGGGGAATTTCAGGCATCAGGAGGGGCAGTTTAGCAATAGCCCCGTGTGTGTGTGTGTGTGTGTGTGTGTGTGTAGGGGGGAATGTGTTATTTTGGAAATTTCTTGGAGAAATAAAAATGCCAAACAGAATTCTGGATTTTTTTTTTTTTAAATAGAGATCAGCAGCTGGGTTTACATGTCTCCCTATGTCATGACAAAGCATCCCATTTCATTAACTCTACTGCAGCCGCCGAGCCACCTGCTCCCACTCCCATCGGTCCTGCCCTGCTTCCCAGTGACATCCCTGAGGGAAATACAGGAGAGGAGGAGGAGGAAAGGGCACTTTAACCGTTTTGTGACAGTCGCTGGGTAAACAGTAACTTTGCTAGGCTGGTCCCCTCATATCTACCTGGACCTCAGGCCAAATTAGACTTTTTAAAGTAGACATGTTCTCAGGCCTCTTCATAGTTTTCCCCTTCAAAACCCAAGAGTTGCTCAAGAAACATCCACACTAACAGGGCAAGGGTTTTAACAAGAACTTAGTCAAGGCAGAGTTTCTTACAGATAATATGTTTATCTTTTTTCATTTTTAAGCACGTTTCTGTGGTAAGAAATTAAGTCAGTGACCCGAGGGAAGGGAGACACGTTCTTTGGGGGGGGGGGGGTCATGCCAGGTCTTCACAGCACTCCTGGGGAGAGGAAGGCTGCGGGCCTGGGGCCAGAGAGCAGAGGGCCAGCCTCGCCTCGCGGCCAAGCTGGGCCCGGATTGGCGGGAAGGACCTCGGCGGAAGCCCGCCCGCCCGCCGCTCCGGCGGCCGCCCGCGCCCCACTCACCGAGCGCGCCGGAGCGCGGCAGAAACCACCTCCGGGCTCTCCGAACAGGCTGAAGAGACACCGCCCGGTGCGCCTTCCCTCCCCAAGCAGCCCCCGGTGATCCTTCAGGAGTCCGGGTGGGCAGAAGTGACCGGCACGGAGGGCTCCAGCGACCACGTAACCGCAGGCCTGGGAAGCTTCGAGCCCACGACGGAGGCACGAGCTGCTGCCACTTCCAGCCCGGGCGGCGGCTGGATCGGCACGTGCCCCGCCCTGTTGCCCTGGAGACCGCGGCGGTTTGTTTTCAAACCCCAGTCTCCCCAACCCAGCGCCCCGGCGTCACGGGCTGGGTGCGCGCCGGGTGGGCTCCTCGCGTCCACGCCGCCGCCGCCCCGCCGCAGTGGTACAGCCCAGGCGGCGAGGCCGCCGGGCCGCGGGAGCCAACTAGAGCTGGCTGCCAGCGGCGGGGAGGAGGTGAGGGGCAGGGCCCCGCAGCGTCCCCGCTGCCGGAGCTGGAGGGGGCCTGGGTGGGCGTCTCGGGAATGCGGGCGCTTGGCGGTGGAGGAGGGGGCCAGCTCATCGCTGCCCGCCCCGCACAAGCCTTCTCTGGCCTCAGTTTCCTCTGATTCCCCGTCCCGGCTCCTCCAGGCTCCTTTGTCCTCTGTCTGCCCCGCCCCCCAGACCCTTAAGCCGCTGCTCCCTTTCCTCCTACCCCCAGGTCGGGCCCTAGGGCCTTCCTTGGCAGTTGCACACCCCCCTTCTCTGATGCCAACAGCGCCATTTCTCCCCGGCGCTGATACCGTCCTCAAAATGCCGGACGTCGAGGAGAATGTGCCCCCAAAGGATCCTGCCGATGGAGAGAGGGAGTCCTGCAAACCTGAGACTTCAAGACCGACTCAGGAAGACAAGAGCAGCCCCAGACCAGCCCCAGACCAGCCTCCTTGTAGGTTCAGCTGCTAGGCAGTCCCCTTGGCTACCTTCGAGGGAGGCGGGTCCCATTGGAAGGAACTGACTGTCTCGGGCATCAGCGCCCTTTAAGAGGACTCATAGAACCCTTAGCCACCAAGTTTTCTAGTCTCCCCTGTTTTGTTTGCCCATCTTCTTAACTCCCCCACTGGCCTTTACTTACAGGCCTTAGGTCCCCAAGTTGACCAGAGGTGTTCAAAGAGTTTTTTGGTCCCAGAGAAAGAAGTGACCCAGGCACGATTACTTGAGTCTGACAAGATTTGAGGCAGAGTCAGTTCAAAGCCATGTTTATATTTTTGTATTTTGAATCTGGAGATGGAAAATGGCAGCTATCTGGGGCTGATTTTTAAAGAACCCAAATGATCCCAGACAGGAATTGTGTTTTCTCAGTTCTTTGTTGACTCAAGAAGAAATACTGCCCCGGGCTCGTATTTTTTGCTCTGTACTGTAGTAGATGTTCTTTTGTGTTCATATTGGGACACGAGGTCTCTTCCACACTTCGTGGTAGGTCCAAGCTTACTGGGAATCATGCTGCATTTCTCTTATACATAATTGTCTCCGGAGAACTCAACCTGTCATCAGTCTGAAGAGCTCTGTGCATGCAACAACCTGAGCTACAATTCTTGACGATTGAAAGGCAAAAAATTAGTTCCAGGCCCTCCTGCCAAGTTGAATTAGATTTATTTGTATTATGGCCACATGGGGGCGCTGTTGGTTAACAGAATGGCATTGAAGAAGCATATTTTGAGCACATTGGACAGATTTTTAAAAACCTGATGCGGGGGTGAAAGTCAATTTTTGTGTGAATACGATTTAAGTTCTTGAGGCGACTATTTAAATGAATCCATAGACGGAACAACTATCAGTAAAATTAATAACCAAGTTATTTAAAAAAATAAATTTGAAATGTATATTAGGTCGACTTGATGAAATTACTGTAATTACTTGAAAATCTCTTTGTCCTTGGCATCTGGATTTTTAAAATCTATTTTAGTTACATTTTATCTCTGATTTCTCTTTGGGCCTTCCACTTTCCTGAATTTTAGAGCTGTTCTGGAGTTGCTGAGTGCTGTTACTTTTGAACAACAAAGTAGTCTTGTCAAGGCAGGCTGGGGACTTGGATTTGTTGTGGTTGGAACGTGTTTCTGTGTATATTTCACTTAGTTCTTCAATGGCTGCGGTAACTCAATCTCCTTTTGGAGATTTCTCTCTTAGTTCTCACTTCGCTTTAGTGAATCAACAGTGATTCTATTTACATATTATGTTTTGCTATTTTGGCTAGAACTAAAGACTTCAGAGAGGCTGCAGAAAATAAAGGGGACTTCAACCATCTACTTATAAAGGTTCAGTTCACTTTTGTTTACCTAAGCAGGGACTCAGTGGATTTTTGATGAAGGTCTGCAATCCCCATAACTTTTAAATTTTGAAATATTCCAAATCTGGAAAAAGTGGGGGAAAAAACAGTGAATTCTCGCATTGTTAATATTCTGCTATATTGCTTTTTCTCTCTCCACATATACTATATTTCCCCCTTTCTGAAAGATACAAAGTCATGACTTCACCTCTAAATACTTCATCATGTATTTTTCTAAGAACAGGGTTTTCCTATGTAACCTCTTTTTTTATAATAATTGTATTTTTCCTTTGTACATTTTTAAATCTTTTTACCATAGAAGACATTTATAAAAGTACAGCAACTAATATAGTGAACCCCCATTTATGCATCATCCAGCTTCAATAATTATCAACTCGTGGGTAAACTTAGTTTACCTATATCCCCTTTACATTTTGAGGCCAAATTTAACAGATTACAAAGCTTCAATGAAAGAAAAGAAGAAAACATGATTTATTGTATGCAACTTCATTTTTTATACCAAGTAATCATTATAATTGCCATATATACCTATTATGTGAGAATGCTATCAGCTGTACTATAGACCTATACCAGGAACTTAGAACAGCTAAATGCTGGTACTAGTCTATGACACAATTCTTAGCAAAATGAAATTATAAAGATACTATAATGAGTTTTCCTAAAGCTATATTGATTCATTTTAAAGAACTGCTCTTTATTTTGACAATATATTCTTTCTGCTTTTTTGGAGGTTAAACTGTTTTTCTTTAATGAAATGATTATTTTGGTGGTGGTAGAGTGGATTTTTAAATTTGCTTGTTTCATTGTCCATACTTAGCAAGACAAAAAGTTGTTATCAGTTGCTTAAAATACTTTTGGAAATTTTATTAGTCTGTGAAATCCTAAAATCTGGAAACTTCTACTTTAGAAGACCAAATGACTTTGGCCTGTGCAGTAACATCTGAGTGTTATCTGTAGGAAGAACTTAGCTTTTTTGTTTTTAGACAGTCTCACTCTGTTGCTCTGGGTAGAGTGCCATGGTGTCATAGCTTATAGATAGCAACCTCAAACTCTGGGCTCCCCTTGCCTCAGCCTCTAGACCCAGCTTATTTTTTTATTTTTAGTAGCCTTTTGCTTAGGCTGTGTCTCAAACTCCTAGAACAAGCAATCCACCTGCCTCAGCCTCCCACAGTGCTAGGGTTACAGGTGTGAGCCACCACACCTGACTGAGAAGTTAGCTCTCATTGTACATAGAGGCAGGAGGAGGGAAGAGGACTTTTAATGTCTTTAGATAAATATTTATTTTTGCGGCTCGGCGCCTATAGCTCAACCGGCTAAGGCGCCAGCCACGTACACCTAAGGTGGTGGGTTCGAATCCCCAGCCTGGACCCGCCAAACAACAATGACGGCTGCAACCAAAAAATAGCCGGGCGTTGTGGCGGGCGCCTGTGGTCCCAGCTACTTGGGAGGCGGAGGCAGGGGACTCGCTTGAGCCCAGGAGTTGGAGGTTGCTGTAGGCAGGAGACTCGCTTGAGCCCAGGAGCTGGAGGTTGCTGTGAGCTGTAATGCCACGGCACTCTGCCCAGGGGGACAGCTTGAGGCTCTGTCTCAAAAAAAAAAAAAAAAAAAAATTTATTTTTGCAAATTACAATTTATTACTTCCTTGCTACTATGATTATGGTTTTTTTTTAAGAAAAACTTTTTTTTTTGAAACAGAGTCTCAATTCAGAAGTAGAGTGTCATGATGTCACAGGTCGCAGTAGCCTCAAACTCTTGGGTTCAAGTGATTCTCTTGCCTCAGCCTCCCAAGTAGCTGGGATTACAGGTTCCTGCCACAATGCCCAGCTATTTTTAGAGACAGGATCCGGCTCTGGCTCTGGCTCTGGCTCTAGCTCTGGCTCAGGCTGGTCTCAAACTCCTGAGCTCAAGCAATCTACCCTTCTCAGCCTCCCAGAGTGCTAGGATTACATTACAGGTGTGAGTCACTGTGCCTGGCAAGAAAAACATTTTTAATCAGTTTTACTTTTTATTTTTTATAAACTAGCTCTCTTTCCTCTCTTCCCCCTATGCTGGACTATTCAGAGAGTTTCTAGCACTGTCATGGGGCATAAAGTTCAGAAAACATAAGTAACTAGAAATAGTTGTGTGAGTCTGTTTAAGTAAGTCTGATCAATCTAAATTTGGGGCCTACTAGATTGAGTGAACTCTGAATAAAATAAAAATTCTGAGTTGTATGGGCTCATTGTTGTCCTTAAGTTCTTTCTGTCACAGGTCTGACAGAGATAGTTGATGAAGTTTCCAAGCTGAGCAGCAAGATTGGGATGAATCCTGATTACCACAAGGAAGAGAAGACTTTACTTCCAAGCAGGTAGAAGCTCTTCTGCTTTCTCCATTTTACTCCTCCTGTCATAGGTACTTAGCACTAATGTCTTCTGGCCAGACTTGATGTGTTTTCATTTAATAATACTATCAGTGCTTGAATTTGAGAGGTTTCAACAACTTAAACAAAGAAAAATAGTTGTAATTATTAGTATCAGACATTGAAGAAGCAAATGTTATTAATTAGCAAATAACAGCTAATAATAATTAGCAAATTAGTAAAGCAGCAATAGTTGGAATAAATAGTTAAGGTGGTTTTTCAGATCTCTTCTGGCAGAGTTGGAGGAAATAGCCTGTAGTAGCTATCTGTTGCTGCCTAACAAATTAGCCCAAATTTTAGCAGCTTAAAATAATAGTCACTATGTCACAGTTTCCGTGGGTCAGACATTTGGGTGTGGTTTAATTGTGTGCCTCTTGTTTATAGTCTTTCACGGGGTTGCGGTCAATCTGCTGACTCTTGTCCAGAGCCTCCTTCAGTTCCTTGTCACATGGACCTTTCTGTAGGGCAGCTCTAAACATAGAAGCTGGCTTCCCTCAGAGTGGAGAATGAGAGAGTAAAAGTGTCTTGTGCTCAAAACAGAAACCACAGTCTTTTTGCTACCTACTCTCAGTGGCAGCCCTTTGCCTCAGCTACATTCTATTTGTTAGGAGTTAACAAACCCAGCCCACACTCAAGGGGCAGGGAAGATGAGAAACAGTTGGCCCTTGTATCCATGGATTCAACCAAAAGTGGATCAAAAATATTTTTTAAATATATAAAAATAACAATAAAAATTTGGTATAACAGCTATTTACATAGCATTTACATTGTGTTATGTATTATAAATAATCTAGAGTTCATTTAAAGTTTACAAGAGAATATGCATAGGTTATATGCAATGCCATACCATATTCTAATCAGGGACTTGAGCATCCGTGGAATTTGGTATCCAGTGGGGATCCTGGAACCAATTCCCTTCAGATACCATGGGATGACTGTACAGGTAAGCGGAGAACTTTGGTGGCATCTCGTTAGCTGCCTATGACATAGCTCTTATCAGTTTCTCTTTTAAGTAGCCTCAGATTAAATAGATAAACAGATTAAAAATACTTTCTGTTAGTGGTGTTTTCAATTCTTGGGGTTCTTTTTAGCTTCATAAATCAGCTTATTTTGTTTTATTTTTATTTTTTTGAGACAGAGTCTTACTATGTTGCCCTGGGTAGAGTGATATGGCGTCACAGCTCACAGCAACCTCCAACTCTTGGGCTTAAGAGATTCTCTTGCCTCAGCCTCCCAAGTAGCTGGGACTATAGGCGCCCACCACAACGCCCGGCTATTTTTTTTTTTTTTTTTTGGTTGTAGTTGTCATTGTTGTTTGGCAGCCCTGGGCTGGGTTTGAACCTGCCAGCTCTGGTGTATGTGGCTGGTACCCTAGCCGCTGAGCTACAGGTACCAAGCCAATCAGCTTATTTTATTTATCAAGATCTGAATTCTGTTGATAAATAATGCTTTCCTACCCCCATCAAAGCTCTATTTTGATTCTTCTTAGTTGTATTGACATTATAGTAAATAACCATTCATTAAATGGTTCATTATGAATTTTACATTTTTAAACTGTCCTAATTTCCCACCAATGGATAAAAAATGGCAAATTGTGGTTAGTTTGCATCCTTAGATGGTTTTATTATTTGGCCCCTTCAAATAATTGGCTTTCTGAGCCGGAAATCTGTTACTGGTTCAGCACCTGTAGCTCAGCGGCTAGGGCATCAGCCACATACACCAGAGCTGGCAGGTTTGAATCCAGCCCAGACCTGCCAAACAACAATGACAACTGCAACCAAAAAATAGCAGGGCACTGTGGCCGTGCCTTTAGTCCCAGCTACTTGGGAGGCGGAGGCAAGAGAATCGCTTAAGCCCAAGAGTTTTAGGTTGTTGTGAGCTGTGATGCCATGGCACTCTACTGAGGGTGACAAAGTGAGACTCTGTCTCAAAGAGAAAAAAAAAGAAAGAAAAGAAATCTGTTACTATAAATGCCTTTCTCTGTCACCAGTTGCTCCCCTGGTATTCATGCTCCTCTGATTTGCTCTTTCCTGGTTGCAAACTGTTGTCTATAGACTT